ACGGAATATCTAGCAGCCACAAAAGAGGGTCGTACTACGGGAGCGCATGAGACCAAAGGAACTAGCACACAGTCACTAAGCACTGTGAGAGAATGAGTCCACAAATCCAGGCCAATCACTAAGCAGCGTGGGCCACAGGTGAGCAAGGAGCCACGAAGTCAGGAAGATATCGGAAGAGCACGGGTCATTGAAAAAACGACATTTAACCTGTAGTACGGGGTAACGGAAACATAAATAACCACGATATTGTACGGGGACACATGAGACTACGAAGGTAAGTGGTTAAGTACACGAAACCACGGCGTACTGGGGTGAACGACGCTCACAAATCACGCGACACCAAGAAGTACTTAAATTTGCGGCCACACCGTTTCCAACAAACCATGCCACTCCGCCGCGCAGCGTCGGTGGTTGGCTAGTCTACCCCATTTAGTGGGAAGTGTTGTCTGACAGTCCGTCCGCGGCTAGGGCTAATAAAATTCACGCTAATGCGGGCGTTCTACAGGCTGCCGAGCGCAGCGAAGGCGGCGTCGATTGGTCAAAATCGCATAATGTGGTGGACACACTGTATGCGGTCTACACATTGTACTTAAATGCACCGTTCAAATTTCATTTTGCTCCCGCGGAGCTCCTCTCGACGCAAATGGCGCTCCCTGTGTGCGCGTTAGTTAGCATTGGTAGAAGGGACCAATGTGCACACACGTACTATATCGTCGTAGGAGCCGTTAATTATTTTTTAAGGCCCTGGTGACATATATTTCGGCTGAAACTCGAACTTTAGTACTTATTGGATTTAATATGACGTTTTAAGCTTCGTAGTACTTTTGTAGTAATGATTTTAGAAAAATGCTACTTTTAATGTATTTCATATTTTTGCTTGCAGTTATTTGTAATAGTAGTACACGCACATACATGTATTAAATTTAGCACCAGATAAATATAAAAGTGCTATTACGAATATTTAGAAGTAGAAACGTTTTTTAGTAGTAGTACACGTAATTATTATATCAGTGTTAGATAAACTACACAGCTTTTTTAACCCCTCCGTCACTAAGGCTTGATAAGGAAGCATGTGACATTTTCCACATGCTTGATAATCAAGCATGTGGGGATCGTCATAGAATGGGCGTTTAGTCCCCAATGCACAGGGCTTGGGGTCCTAACTGTAAAGAGAAAGTTCCTTGGAGATACGCTGTCGTAAAGACAGTGCTTCAAACGAGAAGCCTCTGAGCCATCCATTCATTCTACAAAACGAAACGCGGGACCAAGATGCCTCCCCGCCGCGTCACGCGCGCTGAAGCGGAGGCGTTCCTGCGTCGTCTCGACGGGAAGGAAGGCGCAGAACGCGCCCGGCTGCTTGAAGAGCACCGCGCGTATGTCGACGGTACGCGTGACCGCGATGCTGACTTTGGTGACGACGTTGCGGGTATACCACCTGTTTCAGCTCCCACGTCAGCACGACAGGAAGGCGGCCTAGGATGACAGTGGCCTCACGCAGCCCTCCTTGCTCAGCTTAGCTACCAAAAGAAGGGCGCACCTAGTGGGGTACCACAATTTGCTGGCAAGAGCGTTGCCGATTGAAAGGGAAGGCGCCAGTTCGCAGCATTGCATGCAGAAGAGCTTGCTACCCGATGCTGCTTCTGCTGATGAGGATGGGTAGTGACAGTGGAGACGAAGATTACGTGGAAACAGGGAGAAGACCAAGGAAATGACGACGTCGAGTTTTGACATGGCGACAGCGCCCAGATATCACAACACCCGAATAAGGCGGCGAAAAAAGAAAAGACCGGCAAAGGCGCCTGTCAGGGCCAAAGCAAAAGGTAAGCGTAAGCGCGCACCATCGAAGAGATCAAGAGCTGACAAATCTGCGCGTACAACGAGCCCACACGTTGCTGCTGGTGACGAAGCCGTCAGGTGAGGAGATTATGCGTTTTGCGTACGATGTGTATCTCACACTTTATGGTTGTAATTGTTTGTAGCGATGCGTCTGTTGGTGGGGATTTGGACTACAGCGAAACGTCGCCATCTCCGCCATGTGCAACAGACACAACGCAGGCAAATCGTGGAGCCATGTCGACATCGGAAGGTGCTTTCTCTGCGCAACAGACTTCACCGCTAACGCCACCTCGGTCTTCGGCTGCCAGGTACGCTGTCACATGATGGATATCAAGCATGTGGGAGATTTATTTCTGACAGCATGCTGTATATTACTGTTGGTTCTGCAAGGTCACTGGATATGGCTACTGCTATTCACACAACTGCGGTTCCCACAACCCCGCCTCCTCTCTATTCCCGTCAAGATTCCCGTCACGATGATGACATCTATGATGGTGGCGCATTGGATTCGGATTACTATGATTCAGACACTGGGTCAGCAGAATGGTACGAGGACATGGACAATCTTGAAGATGTTGTGGATGCTGAGATCCTAAGCGAGAGCGACACGGAGACGAGTGATGAACTGTCACTAGATGCACCTCCAACTGGCGATTTACCGAGTTCTACACCTGCAGTTGGCGCAGCATCTACAACAAACCGTCGCGGGGGACAGCGACCTCCACGAAGTTAGGAGGAGGCCGAACGCTGGAAGGGCATCATTGACAATTGGCGCATCGTAGAATGGTCTGATTTATCTAATATAATAGATACAAAGCTCGCTACAACTTCTTGAGAGGAGCATCTATTCTATGGGGACCATTTAAACTAACCGGTTTCATCGCTCAGCTGCAAGCCCAGCTACTACAAGTGGGGTCAGCCGAATTTGCAAACACGGTAAGTAAGGTGCTTATTCTGCTTGTTGTTCTCATTGCTAACTATTACTGTATGTGTCCAAAGATGTACTCACCTAGACCAGTTACACCACTGCATGGCGACGCTCCACCGTCCACCCACCAGCTAAAAATGGACGACGAGTGGGTGGAGGTGAATGGAATTCGAAAGCGACGTCAACGGCAGTGCAAGGTATGTACTATACGGAAAACAAGCAGTACACAGCGGCAGGTGACGCGATTCTACTGTCCTGGCTGCAGTAAAGGCTCAAAACGGTACGTTGCTATGCTCTATGTTTCTTACTACTCCTATCAACACGTATAATGCAGTGTCTACTTGTGTGACAAAGGTGCGCCAAGGACATTACCCCAATAACAGCCAGACTTGCTTCTCCATTTGGCACCAACTTTGGCGCAATGGAAGCGAGCGCCCACAGCCGCGCCACGGCCGCGGTATCCAGCTGAGGGCCCCACCAAAAAAGCGGGCGGAAGGACAAGAGGGTCGTGAAGAGGAGGGGGCGGTGGGGATGAGGAGGAGGCCGCAGGCCTCGGCAATGAGGGAAGTGATGGTGGTGAACATTCTGATTGTGATCAGAACAAGACAACGGAAACTGGTGGTGACGACAGACAGCAGCAAGAGTAGGAAACAGTGAATCTGCGTAGGTAATAGCCCAAATGACTTGCTTTTAGCAAACAGATGCAATACACAAATTTGCTTTCGTAGCCGTTCTGCACGTGACTCCGTCAAAAACGATTCATTCCCAATAAAAGAGCCATTTGCACATGCATGATGTCGCGTATGGGCTTTACGGATTTTACTCACCCTGCTCGATATAAAGCATGTGGGTTCATAATACGTACGATTGCAGGATCTTGTACAAATATACAGACACCGATCTTTTTTTTTCCTATACAAATTTTACGTTAAGACTTTTTTTAACATGCTTGATATCAAGCATGTGAAAAATAGTCTGTGCATTCAAGATTTGCTCTCGTAACGGAGGGGTTAACATTAATTACTAGATATTTTTCAAATGTGACTATAGTGGCGGCCTCACAAACACCACTCCGCCACCGCGAGAATAAAAGTATTCCCTTAGCTGTGATAATTAGTTTGTATTCGCCCGTGTAATGTGCGAAATAAGATAGTTGGCGCACATTCCAACACGTTACGTAGCGTACATCAAGCGCATTGGGTGATCGAGCTGACGCGGGGTTACTGAAGAACACGAACCCAGGTAAGAACACGAAACACGGAGCGATATTGAACTAGACAATGTACACGCTGGGGTGGAAGCGGAGCACGGGTGGGCACGAAAAAAACAAAAGCCACGAGCTATTTAGGATCTTGTCCTTCCAATTTTATGGCTGCGTGCTCTCCCGTGGTTCGTCTCTTTATGACGGGAGCTTACATACCACGGAAGAAAGCTAAAATATTGACACCCCAGCATGCTGAAAAGCACGGGTTACGAAAGATCACGGACGTTTGAGGCCACGGTAAAACACGTACCGGTGAAAGTGCACAGAAACAATTCTCTAACGAGACCACGGTAGAACACGTACCGGTGAGAGTGCACAGAAAAAATTCTCTAACGAGACCACGGTTAAACGTGGAGCTCAGTCAACCGACCAAACCTGAGCCCGCGGGAGGCCAGATACGAAAAATCATCAATCTTTGGAGCACGAGCCTGGGTAGAACAGGAGCTCACCAATTCACGGAGCGCGCCACTACGTAGCTAACGATAACACAGACGACAGACTAGCCGCGACACCAGAGATAACACGATAGCATGGACGGTGACCCAACCACTAAATCATTGTAGAAAACGCAGCCAAAGACGTTATAGACGGAAGATTACCGAGCCTCGGAGCATGATACCAGTGTAGAACCTGAGCTTACCGAGTCACAAAGGACAGTAGTAAATTAGAGCTCGATTGCACGGTCGGCGGACCAGCCACAGAATACACGGGGGGGAGGGGGGGGGCTTCAGGTGGCCACGATTGCAAACCGTGGAGCACGATGTCATTGTAGTACACGATAACACGGGCAACGCAGGTGCACTACGCGAGCACAATACCATAGACAGCATTACTACACCGCGATTGCACGATAGCATGATAACGCGATCGATGGAACCTCACGAGGAGAGCACGATACACGGGCGACGGAGCAACACGACTGCGTGGAGACACCAATCTATGGAATATTACCCTTAGTCTAGAGTACTGGCGATGGGAGGCCAATGCCCATGGAAGAATATATACCACGAAGCCGGTGCAACTCACGTAAACGTTTGAGAATAGAGAATAGGTAGCAACCTCGAAAGTGACCGTACTAAGGAGAGAGAACCAAAAAGAGAGCGCGCGTAACCACTAAGCAGCCTGTGCCACGGGTGAGCAGGGAACCACGAAGCCGGGAAGATCACG